CTGCTCCTTCACGCTGCTCCTTCACGCTGCTCCTTCACGCTGCTCCTCCACTCTACTCCTCCGCTTCTCAGCATGTCACCTCCGCACTCGACAGCACGGGGCACCCCCGGTGAAAAGCGAGACTGACCAGAGAGGCTGAGGCTGAAGTCGGCAACTGGTCCGGTCCGATTCTGCTCCAGTTCGGCTCTGGCGCTCCAAGCACGAGAGACGAAGAGGCTGAAGATGTCCCTGGCCCGGTTCTGCTCCGGTCCGGCGGCCCGGTCTGGCAGCCCGGTCCGGCGGCCCGGTCCGGCGGCCCGGTCCGGCGGCCCGGTCCGGCGGCCCGGTCCGGCGGCGCTTCAAAGCACCGGAGCATCTCCTCCAGTGAACACAACGACTCCACGGAGGTGTATCGTCCTTTGGTAAAAGTAACAGGCTGCTCACTGAAGCTGAGACCGGCTCTGTTGAAGACAAAATCCCCACAGCCACCTCGGTTCAGTTCTGGTCCATTTCGAGGGACACAGGTACACTTCCCCCACACCTATGAAGACACCACGAGGGCCAGTCCAGCAGAAAACCAGCAAAATACCACCCGGCGATATTTGTCGGAACCAGGTAGAACCACAAAGGTCCAGATAAAAGTTCGTTGAGGTCCAGAGAGAGAGAGAAAATACACCGGACCTTGGTGCGTCGACTCCCCAGCTCGAGGGGTCACCTGGCTGGCAGGGTGCGCTCAGTGCGCTCACATTATTGTAGTAGTAGCAAAGTTACACACCGGTTCAAATGAAATAAAAGACCATGTGACTGTATTGTAACAGTCACATCAGATCAAATGGTTAACAGAGTTGTTGTTGTGGACACACTGTTGGTCATCATGTGTCAATAGGGTCAAACCTGATAATGTTGATTTGGTTAGGAACAGAGTCGTAAATGGTAAATGGACTGTACTTATATAACGCCTTTCTATCTTATCAAGATGCTCAAAGCTCTTTACAACGCAATCTGTGCCTCATTTACCCATTCATACAGCACTCTACTAGATCTATACAAAGACTAATCAGAGATTTATCACATTCATACACTAATGGGACACACATTGGAGGCAATGAGAGGTTCAGTGTCTTGCCCAAAGACACTTCAGCGTGTGACTGGTGGTGGAATCAAACCCCCAACTCTTGTATTAGAGGACGATTGCTCTAACCACTCAGTCACAGCCGCCCTCATACAGTTATATCCTGTAGTGTCAGCCCACAGCTGCAGTAATTGGCCCTCCAGTTGATGTTTGAGCTGATCCCACACGTTTGATTGTGGAAAGAATGGGGGACTAAACTGGCCACAAACTGACCTCATCATGAAGCAGGCAGTGCATGAACACACAGGTGATGGACTGTCTGTAAAAAGGTTTTGTTTTTTATAGGTCTGTATCAGGGTGCTGTCTCAGGAGGGGTCAGACATGCAGATGCTGTTATTTATGGGACAGTGTGCCATCAGAGTGCCTCAAATTATTACCAGAGGTGACCTGAAGTTAAACCTTTTTTCCCATAAACTGTGATACCAGAGGTAATGCTGGTGTGTGGACTGCACTTATATTGGCAAATCATCTTCCCTTGGCCACGTGAGGACAAAAGTCATGTTGGTGAAGCAGAGCTGAAATTCACTGCTGAACATGATACGGTGACATATCATGCAGCACGGTGTTTAAGTGGTTAACATTGTTGTCTCACAGCAAAAAGGTCCCAGGTACATGCCCTATGTTGGGCCTGGGGTCTTTCTGGGTGGAGTTTGCATGTTCTATTCATGTTAGTGTGGGTTTTCTCCAGGTACTCTGGTTTCCTCCCACAAAAAAATATGCATGTTTAGTCTACCTTCAGGCCCAGGCCCCCCTGAAAAAAGATCTGTGATCTCTATGGGATTTGCCTGGTTAAAATAAAGTTAAATAAAACAGAATGCCCATGCCTCCCTGTTAGAGCATCACTTCAAATGTATTTGTTGTTAATGATGTTCTGGTGCTCTGGTGTTAATATCGATCAACTCTTGAGCCTGTAGTCCGACTGAAGCCATTTATTATGGGTATGGGACAACATGAGGTGCTGTAAAGAGTCCAATACCCATGTCTGGATGGCAGGTGCATATTTCTCTGCGTCCCTATTCTTCCTTGGTGTTGTCTGTCTTGGGGAACTAAAAACTTCACAACATGTGTGGGTGCTCTCCTTCATGTGTTGACTCTAAAACTGGACCACTGTGACATCTGTACATCCCACAAGCTGGACAGTAACACAATACAACCACCAGGCCTTAAGCAAACCTTACAATGTAACCCCTATCAAACTCCATCAAGTGCTGGTAATCCTGTATGTCTACAAGGCCTCCTCTGTGTTGGGTGACCCTCACTCACTGTTTTGACTGACGGTCTGTTGCCCTGACAAATGCCTGATAACACTATCACTCCACTTCTAATGCCACCTCTTGGCCCTTCTGGTACCCATTCTGCATTCTGCATGTGCCAGCTCCTTGCAAATTCACATACCTATCGTGAACGATACACACAGTACGTGAATGTGCATGAACTGAATCAGGTCCAAATCAGACCATTCTTTCTGGCTGTCAAATTTATTTTTTCAAGTGAATGTGTATGTTTGGGTCTGCTTCATCCATCCATCCATCCATTTTCTTTACCCGCTTATTCCATTTTGGGTCACGGGGGTCGCTGGTGCCCATGTCCAGCAATCACTGTGCGAGGGACGGGGTACACCCTGGACGGGTCGCAAGTCCATCACAGGGACACATAGAGACAAACGAGACAAACAACCATTCACTCTCTCACTCACACCTAGGGACAATTTAGAGTTACCAATCAGCCTAACATGCATGTTTTTGGTCTGTGGGAGGAAACCGGAGTACCCGGAGAAAACCCACGCATGCACGGAGAGAACATGCAAACTCCACCCAGAAAGGCCCCTGGACCGGGGTTTGAACCAGGGACCTGCTCGCTGAGAGGCAGCAGCTCTACCAGTTGCGCCACCGTGCTGCCGGGTCTGCTTCATTGTGTTTAAAATTAGTAATACAGACTTATGCTCTTTCTTAATCTTTATGTTTGTCTTAGGGATGTTCCCTGGTTCTGTCATCCCAATCTTTAAGGGAGTCCAGAAATTCTCTACAATGATGCTACAAAATGCTATTAAAGCAACATTGCTGGTCTTACTTTAGGGATGTCCTAAAACAATACAATTCAATAACCCTTCTGCTTTTACTCTCTTTAAATAACTAGTTGCTTACAACAGAATTTTATATTGCACTAAATTTAAACTTTTAGGTCACTTAAAAAAAAGCATTTGTATTATATAAAAAAAATTATCACCATGCTGATCAATTCGCACACACACACACACACACACACGCACGCACGCACGCACGCATGCATGCACGCACGCACGCACGCACGCACACACACACACACACACACATATATGTATATAGTTAAAATATTTATTGTTGTTGTGCTGGTTTTCACAACAGTGGATGTTTTCCTTGGACGTTGTGGTGGAGCCCAGACATACATATACTGTGAGCCTTTTCAACTTACCAGAGCCAGACACGGGTCATTACAGGATCACCAAACAAATTACCGTCCCAGGTGAGTCACTGTGAGGTCATGATGAGGAGGATCTTCATTTGCAATTTTGTACCCCATCCCCCACCCCCCCAAAAAAATAAAAAATAGGAAAATAAAACTAACAAAAACCAAAAACAATAAAGGTAACTTTTTATTAGTGCATGAGTTTTCACTAAACATTAAACTGGTTTATAAAATGTAAAATTTTCCGAGTTTTTAATTTAATTTAATTAAATTATTTGGTTTTTTTTGGGGGGGGGGATTGCTTGTTTTTGTATTTTTGAACTAATTCTTTCCTTTTGTTCATATTAGAGTAATTGATTTATGTTTTTGTGTTGGTTTCTTTGTCCGTGTCATGGTCCCTCTTGTAATTTCCTCACACCTATGTTTCATCTACTGTTAGCACACCTGACTCTCATTCTGTAAAGACCCCCTAATCTGTTTCTCATTTCTATAATAGATTTGTCAGTTCAAGCCCTGTTTGTCTTTGCTGCTCGTTGTTTGTCTAACTTGTCCCATTTTGTTGTTGTTGCTGCTTCTTGGATTCTTGCCAGTTTGGAATTAAAATCATTCATTTGCTCCTGAATCCAGTATTTGAGTCTAAAGTTTGGGTCTACACCACTGACAATTTATAACAAAACATTAATCTTTTATTTACCTAAAGGAAGAATAGGAAGTGGGGTTCTGTGGAGTGTTATGTATAATCAGTGTCTTACATGTTGAAGTAAACCTTTGCACAAAACAATAATAACCCATGTCAAACATTGTTGCACAGGCAAAGTCCTTAATGTAGATTCTCATGGATGTACAACTTTGCCCGGCAAAATTAACTATAATAAAAAAATAAAATAAACAAAGCTCAGACCACATGTAACCACTCCAGCCCAAGACCTCCATATCCAGCATCTTCACCTCCAAGATCGTCTGAGACCAGCCACCAGCTGCTGCAACCATCAGTGTGCATAACCAAAGAATTTCTGCAGAAACATCTCAGGGGAGCTCCTCTGCATGCTTGTCGTCTTCATCAGGGTCTCCACCTGGCTGCAGTTTGACGTCATAATCGACTTGAGTGGGCATTGCTGACTGGAGGAACGTCCATGTTCAGAGAATTTGGCAGTACATCTAACTGGTCTCACAGCTGCAGACCAGTGTACCTACCACACCAGCCCCCGTGTTCGTTGTCCATAGCATACGCTTGCCCATACCATAACTCCACCACGGGCCACTCGATTCGCAACGATGACATCAGCAAACATCTCATCCACAGTTTGCCATCTGTCCTGTACAGTGAAAACTAGGATTCATCTGTGAAGAGAACACCTCTCCAACATCCCATACGCCATCGAATGTGAGCATTTGACCACTCAAGTCGAATACAACAATGAACTGCAGTCAGGTGGAGACCCCGATGAGGACAACAAGCATGCAGAGGAGCTTCCCTAAGATGTTTCTGACAGTTTCTGCAGAAATTCTTTGGTTATGCAAACTGATTGTTACAGCATCTGGTGACTGGTCTCAGATGATCTTGGAGGTGAAGATGCTGGATATGGAGATCCTGGACTGGAGTAGTTATACATGTACTGCGGTTGTGAGGCCAGTTGGATGTACTGCCAACTTCTCTGAAACACCTGTGGAGACCGCTTGTCGTAGAGAAAATAACATTAATTTCATGCTCTTGAGGATATTTGTGCAGCCAGCATGCTATCTGTGGCATTGTGCTGTAATAAAACTGCACATTTTAGAGTGGCCTTTTATTGTTGTCAGCCTAAGATACACCTGTGTAATAATCATGCTGTCTAATCAGCATCTTGATGTGGCACACCTGTGAGGTGGATGGATTATCTCTGCAAAGAAGTGCTCACTAACACAGAGTTACAATATTTGAGAGAAAAGGTTGTTTGTGTACACAGAAAAAGTCTTAGATCATTGAGTTCAGCTCAAGAAAGATGGGAACAAAAACAAAAGTGTTGTGTTTATATTGTTGTTCAGTGTAGGTAAGATACTGACTCCTCATAAGCTCGTTCTATAGAACGAAACAATAAATTCTGATCTATTTCTGTCTGTAACTGTCATGTTTTATGCAATCACATTTGTCTAGAAGGGCTTTAATAGTTTAATATTGTCAGATGATTTGTGTTGTTTTGGTGTTAATTTAGAAATAATTTGCAGCATTTTACTTCATTTGTAACATTTGGATGGGACTGGTCAATCACTCGGGATGACTCATGTCAGCCCAAAGATATTCAGAATCAGAATAAGCTTTATTGTCATTGCACCGAGATACAACGAGAACATGTACGTACAGTCGTCCAAAAGATGGACGTAGTGCACGAAGCTGCTGCTAATTAGCGCAACCTTCTTATTCTTATTCAGAATAATATTTTTGCTTAGATGAGAAAAGGGAAGAAAACATGAGGAGAGACGGTATAAAAAAAAGATCTCTCACACCGTGTCCTAGACAGGGCACGGTTTGAGGCATCATAAAACCTACCACAGCAAAGCAACATAAATAGATGTGATACATGTACAAATAGGCCGGTGAAGACGTTGCATTTTAAGGGAAAGTCGTAGCAAAGTCCAGAGCCCCCCACTCTCAGCCATTGTCCAGATAAGAGGTGTTATTTATCATCAGCTCGGTTGAGGTTCTGTCACATGTCCACGGCCTTGGGGAAGGGAGTGGTGAGGAGACAGACAAATCATCTTTGTTTTTCCAAAACATGCCAGGAGGAGTTGAGATAAGTCCGCCGTCAAGACCACAGTTTGTGTCAGACAGAACTCGTAAATTGTCGTTTCTGCCTTTTAAAGTCTCGCTGGTACAATTCTCTGATGGTGACTCCAAACAGCCGAACTGATTCCTTAAAGTCGAGCTTACAGCTCCTCCAAGATTATTCCCATCGTTCATGGTTGCTGCCAGAAAGTTCACAGTCCTGATAACAGCCTGCTCCAGCTCTCTGATGCAGCTCCACATAATTCAGTCTGAGTGCTGCCGAGCTTCGACACATCCACACAAATTTGTAGACAATCCAGATTTCACCAACCCAAACAGCAAAATCCAGTTGTCATCATGAATCCAATTTGTTTCCGTCGAGGTAAGAGGGTCCTACTTACCCTGACTCCTGTTGGGAGAAGTTGATCAACTTTTTTGAGAGACCAGCTGATCAAACCCTTCAAATTAGGAAGTTATGCAGGAAAAAAGAGGCTCTTTGAAGGTTCACAAGACGAAAGAGAACAAATCAGGGAAGCGGGGGTACGGAGCAGAAGAGGACATGTCTGTCTTCACCGGAGCACAGAGAGAAAAAAAAAAACCTGCTTTCTAGACAGAAAACATAAAATCTCTTAATAAAAATTATAATAACTTTTGGCAATGCAACAGTTATTATTATCATAATAGTTATTATTATTATTATTATTATTATTATTATTATTATTGTTAGTAGTATGAATATTGATCATTGTTTTTGTAAAAAATAAAAATAAAAAAACAGTAACTCGTTCTGTCAGAATTATAATAGCTGATTAGGCAAATGTCTAAAGAAACTTTAAGCACAAAATATTCTTATCAGTTTATAATATTTCCTGTTGTGGCCAGGATGTGACGACAAGAAAATTCAAGAGACCCAGCTGTGTCAGGAAAATGGTAAATTCTCTTTTTCCCTTAAGCCTAATTTATTAGTCAATGAGAACGAAGGACAAAAAAAAGTAAACTATGTGTTTTTATTTCTTGACATTTAGGTAGTCTCTGGGATCCCAACATTTCTGCTGTGTTTAACGACGGGAGCTCTTCAGTTATTGTGGTATTTAACGCAGCGCAGTATTCAAAAAAATATCAAGTTTCCATTCAGAGTGAGGCACTGAGCTGCTCTAAAATGATTTCTAAGGTAGCTGGAATGAATGTCACTTGATAATGTAATTATTTGAATTATATTTATGTTTGATGGCTGATTTAAAGCTAGTGTTTATTTGTCTTCTCAATGAAACTCGTAGGGAAACAGGACGATGTTAAATGTGCCGTTTGAGGGAGGTTCTTGTCAGCTCTCCCTTTGTAAAATACTGGTAAAGGTGAGTCAACTTTGACCTGCATCTTCCATCTCTAACACATATCTTTTAGTGTTCTTGTAAATTCAAGAGCTCATGTTATGTTTTACAGATCCAGCCTTTTTTTGTTCGCTGCAGAAATGACTGTGAGGCTGCCATCAGAACATTTGATCTGTGCTGTCGTGAGTATTAGTCGTGACAATACACTTTAATAAATGTGGAAATTATGAAAAACGTTTGGATTTCAGTATTTTCTCTCGTTACATCTTAAAATGATGCTCAAGTTAATGTACTTTTGGTTTATATTCAGAATTTGGAGTAATGTTTTAATTAACTTCAGATGGATTAAATCTTATTTTTCATTTTGTTTCAGATGATCCTCTGCAGACAGGCTTGCAGGCCGGCATCGGGCTGTTGCTGCTGCTCATTCTTTGCTGTTTACCTTATTTACTGTGGAGAACGTCTCGTAAAGGTTTGACTTCTTTTAAATGCCTCACGTCATTTAGAACAGCCAGCTTTAGTAGATAAATAATTGGCTGTTTTATTTTGTCTCTCAGGACCTCGGGTCACGACTCCATCTGCTGCTAAACAACAACCAGAAGTTTTTCAAGTTCAGGAGCGGAAACGTGTCTTCATCATTTACTCCCTCGACCATCCGTTGTATAAAAACGTTGTTCTCAGGTTTTGTGCCTTCCTGGTGGCCAAATGTGGCACCAGAGTGGTCATGGACATGTTAGATTCAACTAGACTGGGAGTGTTGGGAAGCATCCAGTGGTTGGACTGGCACAAAGAGCAAATAGAGAGCTCATCAGACAAGATTTTAATTCTGTGCTCGCGAGGCGTCCAGGCCAAATGGAAAGCCATGTGTGGGGACAAGCAGGTGTTTCTGAAAGAGGATGCTCGCTCACCTACGGGGGACATGCTCACTCCATCTCTCACTCTCATGGTCCCACACTTTATCCGCTCCCTGTCCTTTGACAAGTATATTGTGACCTACTTTGATGGTATTTGTTCTGAGGAAGACGTTCCTTCTCCCTTCAACATTACGGTTCGATATAAGCTGATGAAGCAGTTTGAAGAGGTCTTTTTTAGAATACTGAACATAGAAAAACATGAACCGGGTCGAGTGAGGCAAATCAACGGACTCTCTGAGGAGAAATACCATCAGTGCCCCTCAGGGAGAGCCCTGCACGATGCCATAGAGGCCTTCCATGCTTACCAGCTGGAGCATCCACAGTGGTTTGAAGAAGAGTTACTGGAAAGTTCAGATCTGGAAGATGAAGAAGTCATAGATGAAGTTGATGAAAGCAAAAAAACGTTTACAAACCACCTAATATATTGTGTTCTGGACTCAGAACAAGTTGTCAGTCATGTGGAGACAGAAGAAATTAATTTAACTTTAAACAAAAGTGAACTTCAACAGGCAGAGTTCTAATCTCAGACTGCAGAGACTTTGCAGCTACTTTAATGAAAAACTATTTAAATTTGAATTAAGTAAGTAAACTTTATTTAGCACCTTCCATTGATAAAATCACAAAATTATTTACAGAAATACAGCTACAGGGTTAATACAAGATAAAAACAGTAAGAACAGCCGATAAAAATAGTAAGAACAGCTGATAAAAACTGTAAGAACAGCCAATAAAAACAGTAAGAACAGCCAATAAAAACAGTAAGAACAGCTGATAAAAACAGTAAGAACAACCGATGAAAAACAGTAAGGACAGCCGATAAAAACAGTAAGAACAGCCGATAAAAGCCAGTAAGAACAGCCGATAAAAACAGTGACAACAGCCAATAAAACAGTAAGAACGGCCCATAAAAACAGTAAGAACAGTAGATAAAAAACAGTAAGAACAGCTCATAAAAACAGTAAGAACGGCCCATAAAAACAGTAAGAACAGTTGATAAAAAACAGTAAGAACAGCTCATAAAAACAGTAAGAATGGCCAATAAAAACAATAAGAACAGCCAATAAAAACAGTAAGGACAGCCGATAAAAACAGTAAGAATGGCCCATCAAAACAGTAAGAACAGCTGATAAAAGAGTAAGAACAGCCGATAAAATCAGTAAGAACAGCCGATAAAATCAGTAAGAACAGCTGATAAAAACAGTAAGGACAGCCGATAAAAACAGTAAGGACAGCCAATAAAAACAGTGACAACAGCCAATAAAAACAGTAAGAACAGTCAATAAAAAACAGTAAGAACAGCTCATAAAAACAGTAAGAACGGCCCATAAAAACAGTAAGAACAGCTGATTAAAACGTAAGAACAGCTGATAACAGTAAATAAAACATTTAACTAAAAGCTTGTCTGAATAAAAATGTCTTAAGCTGCTTTTTAAAGGAAACAACAGAGACGGCCACACGAAGAGACGGGGGCAGGGCGTTCCACAGCCTGGGGGTTACGGCCTGAAATGATAGGTCACTCCGAGTTTTAAACCGGGTCTTAGGGACCGTTAGGAGGTTCAGCACTGAAGACCGAAGAGTGCGGGCTGGAGAATAAGGGATCAACATTTCAGTGATGTATTGGGGGGCCTGTCCATTTAAAGATCTAAAAATCAAGACTAAATTTTTTAAATTAATTCTAAATTCAACATTTATCCAATGAAGAGAATATATAACCTGTGTAATGTGTGACCTTCTATTAGTTCCTGTTAAAAGCCTCGCAGCAGCGTTCTGGACCAACTGGAGACCAGCGACGGCAGATTTGTTAAAACAAGTAAAAAAGGAATTACAATAATCTAAACGAGAAGAAATATAAACATGAAGCTTTGAATGTTTATCCAAGGACGTTGACTGGTCCAACAGAACACCAAGGTTTCTGAGGCTCGGATGAGAAGAGGAGCCCAGAGAACCGAGGTGTTGCTTGATCTAAGGAACTTTCTGTTCAGGAGCAATGATCAGGGTTTCAGTCTTGCTAGAATTTAATTGAAGACAGTTGTTAGCTAGACACGCCTTAATATGGGAAACACAGTTTACTAACTGAGCTAACTTGTGTAATTCTAAGTCATAGAAGGAACAGTACATTTGAATGTCATCAGCATAGACATGGTAAGACACTTTATTGAAGCTACTGATAATCTTACCAAGGGGGTTGATATATAGAAGGAACATAATAGGGCCTAACACTCAACCCTGAGGAACACCATGGAGAAGGCCTGATGAAGAAGATTTATCTGTCGCAAAAAAATGGAAAAATGTATAAATAAATGTGGATATTTAATTTCAGGCAGCACGGTGGCGCAACTGGTAGAGCTGCTGCCTCTCAGCGAGTAGGTCCCTGGTTCAAATCCCGGTCCGGGGGCCTTTCTGGGTGGAGTTTGCATGTTCTCTCCGTGCATGCGTGGGTTTTCTCTGGGTACTCTGGTTTCCTCCCACAGACCAAAAAATGCATGTTAGACTGATTGGTAACTCTAAAATTGTCCCTAGGTGTGAGTGAGAGAGTGAATGGTTGTTTGTCTCGTTTGTCTCTATATGTGTCCCTGTGATGGACTGGAGACCTGTCCAGGGTGTACCCCACCACTCGCACAGTGATTGCTGGACATGGGCACCGGCGACCCCCGGGACCCAAAATGGAAGAAGTAGGTAAAAGATAATGGATATATATATATAACTATATATATATATATAAAGCTTGTTCTGTTTTTATATATCACAGTAACATTTTCCAGGAGCCACATTCAGAGCAGTTTATCCTGTAGAGATCTGTGGTTGATAGTTGTGGGCTGTGTAAATACGTTACAGGTCAAAGTTCAGCTTTCTGGGCAAAGTTTGTAGCATTTTTTTCTTATCCTGGAGAAGGTAAGCATTTAACTTTTCCTGAGAAAGCTGTTGGTTTTTAGTAATTGACTGACCAAATAGTAACAATGTTCTGTCGACTTTTAAGATCTGATTTCATGGTCTTCCTCTGTCTGTCCTTCACTGTATTTTTCCTTTAACATGGTGGCTTTGATTTACAACAGTGGTCACTTTTTTTTTGTTACATTTGTGTGGAAGATTTTTTTATGTAGTTAAGTAATTTTAAATTGTCTTGAACAAATTTGTTTTCATATATTTTGCCTCCAAAGAACCAAACTTTCTTGTAATGTTTTAAAGTGGTGCTCAGCTGTTTCTTGGGGGGTTTTCTGAAAAGTCCACGATGGGTTATCTACGAACATGAGCTATTTCAACACATACTTCAGTCTCGTCCTGATGCTTGGTGATTAATTGGAACATAAAGTTGTCTAAAAGTACACACATTTTCACTTAGAATCTCCTTAAACTGGTCATACATGTCCCGATGAACATAACTGCAGACAAACTGACATTTACTCAACAGTCCTGTAAATAAAGTGCAAAATAATTTGCCACAATTAAGCCAATTTTTTTCAATGTCTTAATCTTATCCGAATTTCATTATTTTTTATTCCCTTGTTTGTCTGAAATCTGTTGCAGTTTAGTTTCAAATGTCACCTAACTTGTTCAAGATTCTGTCACATTTCTTGCACTTCATGACTCGTGGAAACTAAATTAAGAATAGTTTGAGATGTGTTCCAGACTATGCGACTATTTGAGAGAATGTTTTGTAATTTTGTATAGCATGTTCAAGACTCCAGCTACACAAACACTGATAACCCTCACAAATGTTTTGAGGCATTTTAGATACTTTTTTTTACACGTGTCATTTTAAATCTGGTGCCAGCAGCTGCAGTGCAATGCAATACAGATTTTACCATTTCCCAAGGAAATGTTGGTGTTACTGACCTATGAATCGTTCTATATGATCTGGCTTAATGTGTTGAACCCATATGCAGAAAGGACACAAGGAACTCCAAAGATAAAAGTAATATAACAGTTTATTTAAAATTAAATAAAATTCACGCTGGTGGGGCAGCAAACTTACTTTTAAGGAGTAGATGAGACACAGAGGGAGACAGGCCATGAAAGCCTTCACAGGACAATCCACAGACAACTGGCAAGACACAAAGAAGCTAAATAGATAGAGACACTGATGAGGAAGAGTCAGTGATGTGTCTCCATCTAACAGAAAACTAATGGGATTTTTAGATATTTTGCCATCCAGTCCCAACAACACATCATTTGTGTTTATTAATTCTGTTACATGTACAGCATATAAGTGTTTTTAACAGCGTAGTCTCTAGTAAATAAAAGAACCTCTGTTCTGGTGTTTGGGAGTCTGTTAGTGAGAGTGGGCCCAAAAAGGGGAGAGGATGATGGAAATTAGTGCCAGCTAACTGCCAGTAAAGAAACTCTGCACAGGAACAAGACTTGGGCCTGGACACAGTGAATGCTACATTTTGGAAAGACATTAACTTTTGCTCTGAAGAACTTGTGGTAAAACTGTTCTTGAGTAATTTTTGAAGTATTTCTGATTAGAATGCGTTCTAAAAAAAAAAGAATATTCAAACTTGCACAGTTATTTTTTTTTACATTTTCTAATATTAAAATGTATATGCTGAAAGTTCACAGTAACCATTCTAAAGCTTGAGCCTTCTTTGTAACTTCAGATGAAGTTGTAATGTTTGCAAAGATTATAATTTGTGTCATTGAAAACTGAGAGTTTGTTTCTTGAACAACTGCTTTTATTGAATTTATTTTGCTGTGGGCTGTTTATATTAAGGACTGTTTGTGTCACAAACCTTGTGGGAAGGATATTTTAAGAAGACTGACCCTGTAAATCACAGTCACCATGCTGGATTTTTGCTGCAGAAAAACTTTTGAGTTACTTAAACTGATCAACAGAAGGGTTGATACTGATGAAGATTAAAAGTCTACATCTTATCAGGGTTTCCAAAGCAGAATGAGGATCCTGAGGAGAGTTTGTGCACTCGTCCTGAGAAAAGGAGTTCGTACTTATCAGAACACATTGGCTAACAAGGGTAAATACATCTTTCCTTCACAGCTTTAACACAACTAATATATAAAAATATAAAACATATACAATAAACAACAGTATGTTGATGATAACTGATGGTTTTATTTATTTTCATAGATCTTCTTTTCAGAATTCATCCATCGGTGTCCCATGCGTTGGTGGAAAACAAGCCAGTGGTTGCACTTGAGAGCACCATTATCACACATGGCATGCCATATCCACACAACTTGAGGTGCACATTATGATTTCAAAAGTCACCAAACCCCTATACCAGAAGTCAATTGTTGTTCTCAAAATTAATACCTCAACCACTATGTGTGTTCAGTACTGCAAAACAGGTGGAGGCGATTGTCCGAGCCGAAGGAGCAACTCCTGCCACAGTGGCTGTGATCGATGGTGAAATCCGTGTTGGGCTGTCCTTGGATGAGCTCGATCATCTCGCCAGTTCTAAGAGTCCGCTGAAGGTGTCACGGCGGGATCTTCCTTATGTCATTAGCAAAGTAAGATTGTTAGTTTTTGATCTAAAAGATAAAATTCAAAGTATGGTATTCTGTGTATGCTACACAGAAGCATCTAAAGTGGGAGATTGGGTTCACTCATTCACTTCATTTTGCCTGGACTCTATTCTTCACCTCTTTTCCATGCTCCCCATTTTACTTGAAGTCCTGCACCGTTGTGTCCTCTTCTCCTTGTAGCCTCACTGTTCCACCTGCTTCCCTCTCCTACAGCCCTGCTCACACTTGCAGTTTTCCATTTCTTGTAAATAGTCTAAGTTTTCTTTTATCTTAGCAAAAATACACATGCGCATGTTTTACATTCTTTAAATTACCCTACTCACACATTTCTTTCGATCTGAGAAAATTATTTTCACAGTATTTTTTTTCTTATGGTGTTAAACTTGCCCTTACTGTACAGTCTCTTATTCATACTTTATGTTGTTATATTTTTACCTTTGTCTGAATCTGTATGCTTTGATTTATCTGTCACTTTGCTGCTAGTACACCTGAATTTCTCTACTGAGGGACAATGAAGCTTATTTCTATTCTATTCTATTCTATTCTCATTCACACACATGTTGTCCTGTGTTACTATGGCCAACTTCCATTCACTCTTCTTTCAAGTACATACCTCCACCTCTCCAAGTTCTCTTCCACCTGTTCTCTGATCTCACCATAGATCACAATGCCATCTGCAAATATCATGGTCCATGGGGATTCCTACTGACCTCATCTGTTTGTCGGTCCATCACCAGAGCAAACAAGAAGGGGCTCAGAGCTGATCCTTGATGCACTCCCACCTCCACCTTGAAGCCATCTGTCACTCCTACAGCACATCTCACCACTGTCCTGCTGTCCTCATACATGTCCTGTACCAGTCTAACATGCTTCTCTGCCACTCCAGATTGCCTCATGCAATACCACACCTCCTCAAGGGGTCGAGATGGTGTAGAGGTAGGACAACCAACTTGGGACCAGAAAGTTGCATCAACTCCTCGCCATGCCCACATGTCGTGGTGTCCTTCTGCAAGACACCTAATACCTAACTTTTCCTCGTGCACTTACATAGCTGCCTGCTGCTCCACCTGGGTGTATCTCACGTGTGATGGGTTAAATGCAGAGAACTAACTTCATCACTGCATGGGAACATACAAAGATGACAATACACATCACTTTCTACTTTATTTCTTTCAAAACAAAGATTGCATATGTGGTGCTCTTTCTTGGCATGAAACCATACTGCTGATAGCCACCTCTCGTCTTGTTTCCACAACTCTCTCCAAGATCTTCATTGTGTGACTCATCAACTTAATTTCCCTGTAGTTGCTACAACTCTGTACATCACCCTTGTTTTTAAAAATGGTCACCAGCACACTTCTTCTCCATTCTTCTGGCATTTTCTCACCCTCAAATATGTAACTGAATATCCGAGTCAAAAAACTCACTGCCATCTCTCCAAGACATTTCCAAACCCCCACTGGTATGTCCTCAGGTCCTACTGCCTTCCCCTTCTTTATTCTTTTTAGATCTTTCTGGACTTCACCCTCACTAATATTTCCCAATTCCTGATTCACAGGTTCTATGACTTCTACTCTTCTTTCTCTTTCATTCTCTTCATTCATTAGCTCCTCAAAGTACTCCTTCCATTTTTCCTTCCCAAATTATGGTAAATAAATTATGTGAACTGAAAATAAGATATTAATGAAATGTTTGTGTGAACTACCCACGCCTGTTTTTGTGATGTTTTACCTACATCCTAATTCTTGTATGTTATATTTTTAGGGTCTCTCTGGAGGAACAACAGTGTCAGCCACCATGATCGCAGCCCACAGAGCTGGGATCCCTGTTTTTGTTACGGGAGGCATTGGAGGAGTTCATAGAGATGGACAAAACAGTGAGCCAACCTGTTGGAAAATAAACTTTACACTTATAACACTTATAATGACATAACATATAATGGGTTTTATAGACTTCTGCAAGAGATCTACCATGTGGCAGTGTTTGTAGCATTTAGTTCTTCTGTGCAAAGCTGAATATGGTTGAGTTAAAAAAAGTGATTGTTCATAGTGGACGGTTTTCATGTTTGATGACATCAGTGCTGTGTGAGCAATAAGTTAGTTTTTATACAAAAAGAAACTATAATGTGTTGTCTCATTATTTCTATTTGTTTAGGGGTTTTTTCTTTTCTTTTTTGGTGTTAGTATTATTGACAGAAACCAACCACAAGACAGTGGTAAAGACAGGAAACAGAACTGGAAGTAGCAGAAATTAAGATGTTGAGGTTCTCCTTAGGAGTGACAACGATGGATAAGATTAGGAATGAGATCATCAGAGGTACAGAACAGGTTGAACAACTGGGAGATAAAGTTAGAGAGACCAGACTGGGATGGTTTGGACATGTCCAGAGGAGGAACAGTGGTTTTGACATGTCCAGAGGAGGGACAGTGTGTATACTGGTAGAAGGATGTTAGGAATGCAGCTGCCAGGAAAAAGACAAAGAGGAGATGCAGTTAGAGAAGACATGGGGGTAGTTGGAGTGAGGACAGAGGATACAGAGAACAGAAATGGAGGAGGATGACTCACTGTGGAGAACCCTGAAGCCAGAAGAAGAAGAAGAAGATTGGTAATATTGATACAGTGTTACCATTGACTAAATGATGATTCCTCCAGGTTTGGACATCAGTGCAGATCTGACGGAGCTTGGTAAAACTCCCATTGCTGTGGTCTCTGCTGGAGTCAAGTCTATTTTGGATATTGGCCGCACCCTGGAGTTTCTTGTAAGAAAAAAAACACTCTTGTTAATAAAATGTACAAAATATACAGCTATTTCCATTACTGATTTTTTTTTAAATTACAACAATCATTTCTTTTTTTTTTTTGTCTATAAATAGGAGACTCAAGGTGTCTGTGTAGCGACTTATGGAACATCAAAGAATTTTCCAGCTTTCTTTACACCAAACAGTGGATTCACCTCTGCGTACAACGTTCAAAACCCTAGTGAGGCTGCAAAACTCATTGGTAAATCAATATTGTACATCCTGGACAATGACTGATTAATTCACTGAGTCTGAACACTCTCAAGTCTCAAAGTCGGTCCCTTTGACTCAGTTCAATGTCAAATACAGAATATGTTTATTTTCAGTTTACAGTTTTCACATGCCTGTTTTTGTCATAGCTGGCACTTTTTCACTGGGTCTTCAAAGTGGTGTCCTAATAGCAGTCCCTGTCCCGGAGGAGCATGCAGGAGGAGGACAGCAGATAGAGGAAGCCATACAGGTGGCATTGGCTGAGGCGAGGTGCACAAAGACTCCTGAAATTAAGATAAGGATCAATGGCATCAGAGAAACTAGTCTGACTCGTTATCACTTATATTGTGTTTGACTTTCTCAGTTCTAAAGGTGTTGCAGGTAAAGACGTGACGCCTTTCATTCTTCAAAAGGTCAACGAGTTGACTGGAGGAAAGTCCCTTCAGACCAGTATCCTTTAAAATCTCTGAAGCACTAAGAAATTACACACAGGAATGAACCATTTGAAATGTGTCAGTGAAAATAAGGAGATAAAAAAGGTTTAATTGTGATAGTATCAAAGTATTATCACCTCGAAGTTCCTCTGATCAGCCCTTAACATGTCATGCTTTAAGACATTGCTCTCATTTATAACAATGCTAAAGTTGGCAGTCAGATAGCTTGTGCACTTTCAAATCAAATGAGAGAAAGAAAGTTAAAAAGTCTAATCAGTCATCCTGAGAAACCTTCTGCAGACTCGGACGTTGTGAGTATAAACACTTTTTTATAATGTACACTCATACCACACCAGTCAAAACTGGTTGCTGTATAGACTGATGGGATTTCTTTTGCAGGTTGTCATTGGAGGAATAAATGTTGATTTTATTGCTAAAAGAACAAAAACACATGTAAGTTTCTTTTACTGCATGCATTCATCCACAGTGCTGCAGAATAGATGAGATTAACTTCTGAGAAAACCTCGTGTTTGTTCAGGTTGGACAAATCGACCAAGGAAGTGTCTGTCAGTCATTTGGGGGCGTGGGGAGGAACATTACAGGTTGTCTTATTATTTATCTGATCGTGATGTGCATGTGTTTTTGTCAGTGCGTCTGACTGTGTTCTCACATTTCTCTGTGGTGCTTTCTTCAAGACTCTCTGAGTAGATTAGGCCATAAGCCCTTGTTCATCTCAGCTACTGGAGCTGATGCAAACAGTGATGCCGTGTTAAACTACTGTAAACATATGGTGAGGACACATAAACACTTAGTCCTTTCTAAGCACAGTTAACGTCTTGCCACTTCATCGTACATTGCCACACGTTTTGTAATTTTTTTAGAACACAAGTGGTGTGGCCAGGCTAGAAAAGCAGAGTACAGCAACTTACTGTGCTGTTATTACTGAAAATGGAGAACTGAGTCTTGGACTGGGAGACATGGACGTTCATCAGCAAATCACTGAAAATTATGTAAGTTCTGCTGACACTATTCAGTTTTAGTACAGTAATTGTTTAGTTCTACTATATAACTTCCAATGACGACTCAGGCACGGTGTCTGTATTTAAAATGGATGCTTTAATGAATGCCGTGAAAACTACAGAAATAAGACAGAAAATACAGAAATGAAACACAAACCTTTAGGTGCTGTACCGAGCTGCGAGTGAAGCATGCTTTATCAAAAAGTGTACCTCGTGGCCGCTCGTCATTAAAGAGGTCCTAGCAAATGTTTTTTCATCTAGTGCACTCTAAATAGACATATAAAATAATTAGAACACCATAACTGACAGATTTACAACTTATTACATCAGTTAAACTAACGGACCTTCGAGGCTGTTGCACACTGCTCGAGTATTCAGGTAACTGTATGTAGCTTCAGGTAACTGTATGTAGCTTCAGGTAACTGTATGTAGCTTCAGGTAACTGAATGTAGCTTCAGGTAACTGTATGTAGCTTCAGGTAACTGTATGTAGCTTCAAGTAACTGTATGTAGCTTCAAGTAACTGTATGTAGCTTCAGGTAACTGTATGTAGCTTCAGGTAACTGTATGTAGCTTCAAGTAACTGTATGTAGCTTCAGGTAACTGTATGTAGCTTCAGGCAACTGTATGTAGCTTCAAGTAACTGTATGTAGCTTCAAGTAACTGTA